GAGATACCCTTGCAAAGACACATTTGCGATACTTTCACTTTTTACTGACTTTTTCCTGCTTGCTTCTGGTCCATGTTGCTGAATTAATTACACTGCATTATTGAACATAAGTTCAGAAGCCCTCTCATGCTTGGCCTTACTCTTCCTAAGTTTCTTGCCTGAAACATCTGACTGATATGTAACATTATTAGGAAAAAGGCTGAGACTCAAGATTTGCTTCTTACGTACTGGACCTATACAACTTGGCTGTACTGAATAGATTTCCTGTCTCTTATATCAGGGGTTCCCAACCCCACGGTCCGTGGACCAATACTGGTCTGTGGCATGCCAGCAACCGGTCCGCACAAACAAGCAAAGCCCCATCTGCGAGATGCAGGCAGCACACAAAACCACACACCCTCTGGTCCACGGAAAAACCTCTCTTCACGGAACCAGTCCTGGTGCCCAAAAGGTTGGGGTCCTCTGCCTTCTATAATCACTAAGGTCATCAGAAGGGTTCTGATGCATGGCCATGTAGTTTTTAAGTTATATAAATGTGGGGTTCCTATCCTCACTTTTAAATATAGATTTTATTAAAAAAATTTCAAAAAACGTAACTAATACAAACTAATAAAAAGCAAAAGAAACAAAAGAAAAGAAACTGCAAAAAGAGAAAATGAAATAGAAAAAAGCTTCTGATTTCTTCTGCAGCAAAAATATGCATATTTACAGTATTAACACTTACTTTATGATTAAAAAGTCAGTTTTTTCCTATTAAACAATTTTTTCCTAATCAAACCCACAAATCATAAATGTATTTTTTCTGCTCAATGCAAAAAGTTTATTAGGGATTTCCAGTTAAACCTGAACATATTTTTTTTTCTTCTGGTGAAGAGATGAAACTTGCAAAGATGGCTAATCAAAGAAATTAGTTTAGCCATCTTTGCAAGTTTCATCTCTTCACCAGTTATTCTTCCATTATGGATAAGGTTGAGCCTTTCTGCTTTAGTCAATATAATTGTTCTGCTGTGATTATCATATATAAAAACAAAGTTTCTTGTCCATTACTCCCAAAAGTGAGCTCTGATTTTAATTGTACATTAACCTTACAAACGTCTGCATTTGTATTCATTTTTTAAGCTTTTTAGATGCCAACTAAACTTGATAAAATGTCCCTTCATATGATACCTCACCCTACATCCTATTCTCTAGGACGCTCTCACTCTTGAATATTGAGTCTTCTCCCACTATGTTTTTAAATATCTATTGAACTAGACTTTCATTCAAGACTTTCTTGGGTGAATATTATGGATGAAAGTTTCTATATTCCATTTCTTTCCTCCTTTTTAATCAGTATGTTTTACATTGTTTTAAGTTCCTGCATTTTGCCATTGCATTTTAACAGTATTTATTTATTTATTTATTTATTTATTTATTTATTTATTTATTTATTTATTTATTTATTTATTTATTTATTTATTTGTATTTATTTTAATTTGTAAAGCTCACATTTCAACAAGTATTATTATATTTTGCCTTTAATGTAATTGAGGCTTACTGAGAGATTCTGTCCTAAGCCTATTAATTCTTACAGTGATATCATCACACAATATAAAATTTTAAAGAAAGATGAAAAAGAAAGATATAAAGATGGATGGGGATATGTTTCTCTTAAAAATAAAAATTAAAAGTTACAGGCATCTAAAAGAGAGGCACTATTTATTGTCTTATTTTTTATATGTATATAAACACAACTATATAATAATGTTTTTTTATTGAAATGATCATGTAGCTTTGCTGTTTATAGTGTGAAATGTCATATTGAGTGGAGACATTTTGATAAGATATTCTCCCATCTTCTCTCTCTCTCTTATCTACCTACCAACCCACCCACCTACCTACCTATATATAATATGTACATAAAAATTGCAAGACAATGCAAAGAAAAAGAAAAATAATTCATACTGAAAATCTCTGATCAGAAGGAAGAACAAATTTTCTCTAAAAGAAGTGTTGAATTCTTAGAGTTAGAGAGAAAAAAGTAATAAAGAATTTTGGAGAGGCAGAAAATTATTAACTGTGTTGTTAATATAAAACAGGATCCTTTATTACATTCCTATGGAAGGATACATGTTCAAATTCCAGCTTCAATACATAAAAATTCAATGCTATCCTAGAATACAGACCTCAAATTGTTTTGAGATTCAACAGCATTTGGAGTCACAATGTTGTATCAAAAATATTTGCAACAATATCTTGGCAAATTCTAGAAATAGATACATATTTAATCTCTTTAGAAAACAATAGGGGGATTTTTAGTTCCTGGGCTGTACTAGGATTAGATTACTACATGAATTTTTTATTCTCCTCCATTCCTATCTATTGTAATGAGCAAGAAAGATCCTAAAGTTATACATAAAAAGTAAAACTAATGTCATGTTTCATAGTCTAGGGTTGTTCCAAATTTTCCATATACCACTGATACACCTCTAATCTTTAAAGTAAGGCAAGAAAGAATAAATTGGAATTTACTGATCTATGCATATTTTATAGTTTACTGTGAATGAAGAGACGGTTGCCATTTTCAGCAGCAATTCTAAAGACTATTATCAAAAATAAGTCCTCAATTTACAGGACTTGTATATTTCTGAATTATGCTTATTTAGAACTGCTTGTTTATCCATCTTATTTCAAAGGAAGTGCTAAAATATTGCCTTTATTTCAATCCTGAACAGTTTCCTTCATAAGATATATGTTTACTGTCAGAAATATAATTTGCTTTCATACTCAAATGCATTCTTGGTACCCTACCCTTGAAAAGGAAAAAAAACATATTTCATTCTTTTTTAATTATCCTGTCTAAAGCTTATACAATTGCACTTTGCACCCTTATAAGAGTAAGAATAACGACACTGTAAATTGCTCTTTTGTGACATTGAGATTCTTGGAAACACACCTTGTGCTGGAGGAAATAGTTATGAATGGCAAGCTTGTTTTGTTATTTAACCAAAGGTTCACTTATCTTAAAGGGTCTATTTACACAGAAGCCTTGGGTGTGACAGTTAAGAATTCTAAAGTAAAACTCCCGCAAGTAGCATGACAAAGCCTACAAAGCGATTAAAGCTGTCTAAAGCAAACCGTCCATTTGAAGAACAGCCTCTCTTATAAATAAAATGAAATAAAAAATCGGTGCTAACCGCCCTACTGCCCCTGAAAGAAAGGTACTTGTCATACAGCAAGGATCCGGACTCACCTGCTTGCTGCAGCCACTTCGTAGCTGGATTTCGTCGCAGCTCCACTTTCTGGACTAAGCTTTCCAAAGTACTATACTGGAGAACACCTGCAGCCAGCCGCCGGTCCCTCCCTCGTATCGCCATTGACTGACAGCTATAGAACCCAGTCCCTTCGTCTTCCCGGCAGTAGGAGGCGGGTTTATAGCACAAACATCGCCGTTACAAAGGACTCGGGGGGGGGGGGAGCTGCTGGGATCAAATTCCAGCCGCAATTATTCCCATGAAAACGAAACTAATTAAATTGCATGGTTGTTCTGAGCTGGTGACGGGTCTGATGAGTTTCTGACGAGTGGTTTTTACCTGGTTGATTTATTGCGCAAAAAGTAATGTGATTTTAAAAGTTTTCCAGAGATTGAGACTCCCTATCTTAGAACAACTTCCCCCAATTCGATGACCCCAAGGTATTACAGTTCCTACAATCTCCAACAATCATAGACAGAGGCTATCGTGCCTGGGGATTTGGAAACTGATCCTTCAACCTAATTGAATAGATCTTAAGGGAATGTAGTTAGAATGCGAGCTGAGCTGACTACACTAATTCCTTGTACAAATTCATTTTGGTTTAGTTAAAAAAACAAGTGTTCACATTTCACTACATCATATAATTTGACTTTGGTTTGGTTACTGCACGAATCCAACCATTATGGTTTGTAAACTTGGTATTGTAACTTTATGTGCAAAATTGTGATTCACTCATTACACCATGAGTAAACAAATGAGCATTATGTGAATTAAGCCCATAAAATTTATTGATGTGTAGATAATTTTCATTGGAATTTATTTAATCATTTTCTTAATCATATTAAGTTCTTGGATGGGAATTTCTGGAAGCTGGTTTCAAATTCCAGTTTGCAATAATTAGAAATGGTAGTTCTCGAAGTTCAAACAGTGAAAATACTGATCAATAACATTCTGTGCTTGACTAAAGCACTATGTTGAACTAAGATAAAGTAGCAGTACAAGCAATCTCATTAATAACACTGCGTGGCTAAGTCTGTTGTGGCAACAGTAATTCAGATGGTCAGTTCCATCCCATTTGACCATTAAAGACTCTCAGATAAGCCTGCAATTTCAGATTATGATGAATTCTGGAGATAATAACAGTAATAATAATTTATTACTTTTATGTTGCACTCAACTAATAATGACTGTGAGATGTTCAGCCATGGGGGTCCCTTATGATTATGGTAAGCGTTTGTTCTTGGTCCTGTATAAAACACTATCCACTACAAAAGAAGGAATAAACTGACACTGAAGTCATTTACAAGTAGTACTCGACTTACAAGAGTTCATTTAGTGACCATTCAAAGTTACGACGACACTGAAAACATTGACTTATGACCATTTTTCACTTATGACTGTTGCAACATCCCTAAGGGTCACGTAATTTACATTATGCTTGACAACTGAATCACATAACAGTTGCAGTGTCATGGAGTCATATGATCTCCTTTTGCGACCTTCTGACAAGTAAAGTCAATGGGGAAACCAGATTCACTTAACAACCTTGTTACTAATTTAAGAACTGCAGTGATTTACTTAACAAATGTGGTGAGAAAAGTTGTAAAATGGGGCAAAACTCACTTAACAGCATAAATTTTGGGCTCAGTTGTGGTCCTAAGTTGAGGACTCCCTGTATTCATCCCTGCTATCTAAACATGCTTCGTGGGGGAACTGCAGTCAAAAAGCATAATCCAGTCAACCACTAATCCAGTCATAGCTCCTTACCAGTATTCTTAGCACTTGAGCATACTTGTCTTTTCAGTTCTGATATTATTAAAGAGGATCCTGTCTGTCCAATTTTGTTAGTAGAATTGCATGCAATCCTTTTATGTATATGACTAGGCTGCTAGGAAACAGCACAAGTTTGAAGTGTCGGAAGTCGTTTACAGTGACGTATTTCTGCATGGACACATATGACAATTGTATAGAGACAACTGGGAATAATTTGAAAAAAAGCTACTGCATCACTCGTGCAAACTTACAAAATATACAACATATAAGAATCAGGAAATAAACTCCGCCGAGCTCAGCCCAAGTAGAACTCAAGTTTCAAAAGTCAAGCGCTGTGTATTACAGCGGGTTGTTGATAGGAAATTTGGCTCAAACGAGCCACCGTCCTTAAGTTTCCTGCCGGCTAGGAAAAGGGGTGGAGACAGCGAAAGGTCGAAACGGAGCTGGCGGGAGAGTCGGGAGAATCAAGGATGGCTGACCAGGGGCTCGAAATGGCTTCCGTGATTCCAGCCCTCCGGGAATTGGGCAGGTATGTGAGTCCGAAACCAAAGTGCTTCACCCTTTTGCTGCTTGCCTTCAGGCTCGTACTGGCTTCTTTCTGAATCGCTGTATTTACTGTACGTAATCAAGTTTTCCTCCCAGGAGCTCGAGATGCTCCGTTTCACCATTGTCTTTCCCGGGTCGTGTGGAACGGCAATTCAGAGACACGGCTGGCAAAAGTGGGGAGGGGAAGGTAGCTGTTAGAATTGTAGATCCAAAAAAGTTTGCTCTTGTTATTTCTTAGCCTTTAGAAAAACTTCAAAATTAGCACATTTTATTCTGCTATTTTAATTAATTGGAATTGAATTTATTAATTACTATACCTTTGCTTTTATTACACAATAAGTATACTTTACAGCTTATGTTCACTCTTCTCTCACTTATTTCATTTCCCTTAATGAGCAAAGAATGATAAATATGGCACTACCCAATTTGCTGGGATTTAGTACATTGGAGGTCCCTGATACATTAGGGAATCTAGACCCTGATGATGATTAGAAGACTGGAGGCTAAAACATTCGAAAAACGGTTGTGGGAATTGGGTATATCTAATGAAAAGAAGGATTGGGGGTGACATGATAGTGTTCCAATATCTAAGGGGCTGCCACAAAAAAGAGGAGGTCAACCTATTCTCCAAAGCACCAGAAGGCAGGGCAAAAAGCAATGGATAGAAACTAATCAAAGAAAGAAGCAACCTGGAACTAAGGATACATTTTCTGACAGTTAACAAGTAATCAATGGAACAACTTGTCCCCAGTGTTCTAACACTGGAGGTTTTTAAGAAGAGATTGGACAACCATTTCTTTGAAATGGTATAGGATTTCCTGCTTGAGCAGCGGATTGGACTAGAACACCTCCAAGGTCCCTTCCAATTCTTATTCTGGTATTCAGTTGGGGGTGGATTTTTGAGGGTCCCCAGCCTAGGAAAGTATGTTATATGAGGGATAAATATATGGCTAGAGAATCTTATACTTAAAACATTTTAGTATAAATTTTATAGTTTAGAGGCCATTAAAACGTGAATAAAGTGCTATTCTCAATTGGGGAGCACATATACATAGAGACCAGAAAAAATTGAAATGCACAATCTAATACACTAACAATTCTAATTGTATGTAAGTTCTCATTCATGAAATCACTGATAATGGAAGGATACTTCACATTGGTAGATTGGTTTCATCTCTGATTGAATAACATGCTTTTGATGTTTCACAGCCTACTTAAGATTTTGATACCCTGAGCAAATTGATACCCTGAACAAATTTAGAAAATTCATTTTCTAAAAATAGAGCTTCTTTCCCTAAGAGACTTTAAGCAAAATTATAAAGTACCGGTACTTGAAATTCAGCATTTTAATAACTGCTATGTGAAAATGTTTTTAAATAGTTCATGTTGTACCTTTATTTGTTTACCAGATGTGCAAAGAACTTTACAGTACACGGTTGTGTGTATGTGTGTGTGTTAATTATATATATTACTATTCTGGTCTGTGACCATAATAAATACTGGATTTGATTTTATGTATTTCAGTATCAAAGGTAGCTCTCTTGATAAAATAACTTTTAAATACATCTTTATTTCAGTGCTACACCAGAAGAATATAATACCGTGGTACAGAAGCCAAGACAAATACTCTGTCAGTTCATTGATCGAATTCTTGTAGATGTGGATGTTGGTAAGTAAAGTTAGTAAATAGCCTAGATTTAAACTCAAACTATATGTGATTTCTGTTACATGTTATTCCAACTCTAAATAATGGTCCTGGACAAAATCTCTAACATTAAACAGTCTTATTATTGAGTAATAATACCACAGAGGGAAAGGAGTAGGTACAAATATTCTTTGTTGCTAAATGAAATATTAACTGTCACCTTGGTAGAAATAATTCTTAGATGGGGATTGATTAAAATATAAATCATTTTTGGTTAGTCTAGTTATGCTTTGTTGGGACATTGCAGTTTGAAAGAAGCCCTCCCTACAGGTAGTCCTTATTTAATGATCGTTCTTTCAGTGACTGTTTGAAATTACATTGTCACTGAACGAAGGGATTTATGATCCATGCTGGGAGTTACAACCATTGCAGTTCCTCCATAGTCACATGATTGTGATATGGGCACTTTGCAACTTATCTCCACATGATTGGTTACCAAGCACCCCGTGATCATGTGATCTCCATTTGTAATATTCCCTGCCAGCTTTCCTAGAAAGCCATTGAGGAAGCTAGCAAAGAAGGTTGCAAGCTACTGCTGCCTATCAAGAGAACTCTCTCTAGTTTGGGGACTGGCTGAAAAAAGTCTGTCCTGAAATTCACACAGGATTTTGTCATGGACTGTTTGCAGCATGGGGCATTTGCAGCCAGCTCCCAGAGACAAGAGCCCACTTTAGAGCAAAATGGCTTCCTGCCAGAGGAATTCAACCCTAGAAGGATTCAGCTGTGTGCGGGGCTTCCAGTAGGCAATTCTTTTGGTCTATCCACTTAGCAACCTGGGAGATTGCTTAACAACCACAACTTCAGGTGCCAGTTATTGACTGAAACAGTCACATGATATCTCACTTAATAACCACTTCATGCAGTGACCAAAATTTCTGGTCTCAATTGTGATTGTAAGTCAAGGACTACCTGTATTTTATTTTCCTGTATGACTTCTTTTAGGAAGAAAGAGGAAAGGAAGCTGTAGACCATACATGAGAAGCAAAACATTTAACTTCAAGGAATCCATTTTCAATTTGTAAAATTGAAAACCAAACTTCCTAAAAGAAATCATACTTGTTATAGAGATCCAAGAAATGCTGCATTTTTCTTGAAATAGGAAATAGGTTTTGAACTCCTGTTTAGATTATGCTATCTTTTTAGTGGCTCTGGAACTTATGAAGAAGACTGACTCTCAGCCAAGTTCTGTAATGTTGCTTGACTTTATTCTCCATATCATGAAATCATCTCCACTTGTGTTTGTAAATGGAACTGGAGTTGATCAGCAAAATGACACAGATTCCAGCTGTATTGGTGAGTTTATTGAAATATATCTATTGGATCTATAATTCAACCAATTATAGCCGATTGAAATATGAATTATATATTTTTATATCAGGCCATAAATCAACAAAAATTTAGCTGAAAAAAGGCTCTCTTCTTTAATGTCATGTATACTCTGAAATGATTGATATCCTTCTAAAATCTCAAGTTAAATGTATTTAATAAAAATTAACATCCAAGTTTGCACAAATGTAGGGAAATAGCACAATTAATTGAGTTACCAGATATGATCTGCAAAAATCCAAAGAATCAATAGGTAGCAGCAAGACGATTTAAAAAGACGCTCTCTTACTCTTGGATTTTTTTTTCGGGTTTAGTCAGGATTAATTATAATACTAGTATTACAAAAGAAAAAAGAAAAGAAATCTTAAGTCGTTAACCTAATATCGTTCTGAAAACTCTTAACGACGATCAGGTTTGACGGTGTAAAATGTACTCTTGTAATCATTACACTAAACAAGAAATGAGACGGAAAAGTTTCAGTTTTTGACACAGAACAAATTGGAGGTAACAAAAGAACTGCTGTATCTTCTTCAAGATCTGATTTCAATCCATGAAAAAAATATAGAGATGATTTTGACATGGCCTGTGACTGTGAGCAGATTTTCTTGCAATTCCACTGCAAATCTGGGCAATTTAAGTTCTATCCAGCTACAGTTAAATGGAATGAATAACGTAGAATGCTTGGAAATAACTTCAATAAGGATTCTTACTCGTATAGTTTCTTACATGTATTTCAAACCACAAGATATTATCCTTTTTGGAATAGGTTGCTCCCTTTTGGACTATGGTAGCCCTAAAGTTAAAATTTTGAGTATGGCATTTTTAACAGAACTCCTAGAGCTTGGAGGACTTCCAGAAGATCTAGCCAATAATTTCTTCTCATTTCTATTTGGAATTTTGCAATCCATTCCTATAATGGATTCTGCAAAGCTGGAATTATATGAAGAACCACTCTTAATATTAGTGAGAACTTTATTTCCTTTTCAAATTCATTCCCATGAGACTTTTGAACCTATTTATCTAAACATACTACTAGAAAAACTTCATGCATTGTTTGAAGCTGATGCGCTCAGGTTTCTCCAGTGTATGAAGATAAAAGAAGTATTATGTCACATACTACAGTATTTCTTGATGTATGTACCAGCTGGATATGAATCTGCTGTTCTGGTTAGAAAAACTTATATTAACAACATTTGCAGATTTTTCATCTCAGCAATTGGATGCCAGATAGAACAAGAGGTAAGTGTTATTAAAATGTTAACAAAGGTTTGGCACAAAATGTTAAACAGATTAAGAGAAAATTATTTTGAGGAAATTACTGGATTTAGTGTTAACCAGGCTAATGCCATCAGGTTTTGTATCAGTAGCTTCTGTTTTCTATACTGACACAAGAAAGAATAACTTACATTTTAGTGGTCTAAATTCATGAGTTTACACTGTAACCTCAGTATAGGATACTGATTTAGTGGAATTTATAATTGATTGGTATGTATTTAGCTTAAAAAATTAAAATGAATAAATCTGTTTGCA